TGAGGGCTAAGCTAAATGAAGAGATGCCCAAAGATTTATGGATTGAGAATCCCAGGGAAGCATGTAAAAGAAGAACCATTCAGGGATAATTGTATTGGGACTGATTTCAGTCTTGTACGTAATTTGAGCATTACTTGTGATGATGTAATGGGTTTGAATTACCCTTGTACTCATGTTTTAGTTTTATAAATTTAATTTTTGCTTATAAAAAAAAAAAAAAAACAATAATAGAAGTGCTTGTAGGGATGACAATGAAACTATTTTGGGTCAATGAAAAGCTCATGGCTCTTGCCAATGACAGAACAGAGATCCCCACACCCACAGGAAATTTTAGTAGAAGTGATAAAGCAAGAATAGAAGATGGAGTTTGGAAATTAAATTCCAAATTGACATAGGATCTTTTTATCTTGTGCTCTAATTAAGGGTAGAGGATAATAGTGTATAAATATATATTTTTGTAATTAATTTTTATTGAAAGTGTAGATGTTAATTTCTATTTAATCAATTAACTAATTAAAATCATTTATATGTCAATAATATTAAAATATATATCAAAATTTATAATTTTTTATATGAATTAATTAAAATAAAATAAATTTATTATATTTTTAAACTGTGCTTTTATGATATAAGTTAGATAAACCCATTGACACACACACATATATATAAATAAACTTTAAAAAGAGGTAAAAAGTGCAAATCAACCCTTGTACTTAGCAATCAGTGGCACATCAGCTCTTCAACTCATTTCAGCGGCAAACAAACCCTCAAACTCATCAATTGGTGGCAAATCAACCCTTTTTAACAAGTGACATCAGCAAATTGTTAACTCTCTATGATGATTGCATAAGTGGCATTTGTCTGGGTCCATATGTTGACATGGCTGTTTAGATGGCATTTTATGAACCAAATTGATGGCATGGCACACATTTTTATAAGTTAATTTATTAACCTAAATATATTATGTTGAATATATATCTTAATTTTGGAAATTTTATAAAAAAAACAAATATTAATTCTGAAAAAAAAAAAAAAAACTAAATAAGAATTAAACTGTCTTCTTCCCCAATGAACATCCAAATTAATCTGGAGGTTTCAGAAACCCTAGCCCCTTTTTATGCCTAACTTTTAGAACCATATGAGTTTCGAATCCGACTTTTGCTTGTCGAACACCAATCCAACCTCAACAAAAACCTCCTCCGCTTGGCCACATTGCGGACCCCCTTTTTCTCTGGTTCTTCATCATCGCCAACCTTTGGATAATACCAAAGCCAACTCCAGTGATGGCTGACTATGGTTGTTAGGCAGCGATGACACTGTAGGCCGACACTATATCACTGTTAGCATAGATCTGGAAGTTTCTAGATTTGTTGTAAATCATATCTTTGGGGCTCTTGTCCTCTTCCATGATTAGGGCCTTAGGGGAATGTGTTTTCTTCTTCTTGGAAGAACTTGAGAATTGAGGAGAGGAAAGTGAGTAATATTACTAATTTTTCTCCTTTGAGGAATGAGATGATGAAAAGTCACTGAGGATGAGAGAAAGAGGAACTCGATGATGATGGTAGAGAAGGAGGGCCAAATTCTCACTAGTGAAGTCTAAGAAGGAGATTTTTTTTTTTTTTTTTTCGCACAGCAAAAAGATTTGTATTTCATGGAGTACAAGGGGTACCCCTGCCCTTAAACAAATTACAATAGCTGGACAAAAACCAGCAGCTCTGTTCCTGACCCTATCGGAACCATTCAGCTGCAAGCTGAGGTTCAGAACTGTTCAGTCACAAAAATACCTGCAGAAACATTTCGTCCTTGCAAGTTCGGGTTACTTCTTCCGTTTAGCTTTTACGCACAACACGGGCTCCATCATCCACTCGTACATGTTAAAAGAATAACCATTTGTTTTACCTTTGATCCAGTTGAAAGCTCTGAGTTGAACAAGTTCAAAAATTCTGTTGACTTCATACTCAGAGTTCTTAAAAATCTTTCCATTGCTTGCCATCCATATAGACCATATGAATGCTAGCCAGACCACATCCCACCCTGCTCTCACTGATGGTTCTTTGAAATAGGAATGGTGTTGCTCAAAAGATTCATGGCATGTATTAGGCATAACCGATGAAATCCCCCACCATTGCAAGCATTTTTGCCACACCGGGCAAGTATTTCTGCAGTGAATAAACAGGTGATTGCTATCTTCTGAGCTTTCCCCACACAATCCACATAGCACTTGGTTAGGATCAGTGATAATGCCCCTTCTGAATAAGTTGATTTTAGTGGGGATTCTGTCTTGTATGGCTTGCCAAGCGAAGGCACTGACCTTTGTTGGGACTAATCTGCTCCATATCCTTTTGTAAATCCATGCTTTCCCATGTCCATTATTGCTTGAGAGCACATTGTATGCTGTTTTGACTGCATACACACCATCTTTATCATGCTTCCACTCCCATCGGTCTTTCTGCTCTTGTACTGGTTTTGAGATATCCAGTAAAGCCTAGAGCTCTGGCCACTTGTTCTTCTCCCATTCGAATAGTGATCTTCTCCACTGTACAGACCATTCCCATTTGCCATCCCTCCATTTGTCCATATTACAGATTCTATCTTCTTTCCCTGAGGACACCCGAAACAAAGCAGGGAATTGGTCAGCAAGAGATTGGTTCCCAGTCCACATATCCTTCCAAAATCTTACAGTGTTCCCTTCTCCCATTTTAAGTTTGAATCCGTCACTAAGCCATCCCCTTTTATTCTGCGCAATGTGGTCTAGCTTGCAAATGTTCCTCCACCAACTAGATCCCTTATGGCTATTCTCTTGAACCCACTCAAGCCAATGGCCATCCATGCTCCCATATTTTCCTTCAATGATCCTATATAAAAGGCCATCATTCCCGCTTGCTAATCTGCTCCACCACTTGCCCAACAATGCGAGATTGAAGCTTCTCAACTCTTTAACTCCGAGCCCATCCTCCATTTTGCTTTTACATACCGTATCCCAACAAACCCAACTGGTTTTTCTCTTCCCCTCCTCACCCCCCCATAGGAAGTTCCTACGAATTTTGTCAAGGCTGAGGATCACGCCTTTAGGGAGCAAGTGCACTGACATGAGGTACACCGGAATGTTGGATAGCACGGAGTTGAGAAGTGTGATTCTTCCGCCAAGGGATAAGAACCTGCCCTTCCATGAGCACAATTTCCTCTTAAAAGTCTAGATTAGAGGTTTCCATACCTTAATGTTTCTACCGTTGCCTCCTATTGGTATTCCAAGGTACTTACAAGGGAAGGCTCCTTGCTTACAATTCAATATGTGAGCCATCTTTGTCTTCCATTCATCTGAAACACTTATGCCCATGAGCTGGCTTTTTCCGAAGTTAATCTTCAATCCCGACACCAACTCGAAGGTTTTCATGATACTCTTTGCTACCCATATATTCTCTTCCTCTGCTTTACCAAACAGGATTGTATCATCTGCGAACTGAATGTGTGACCATTTCATTTCATTGCTGCCAACGCTGATCCCCTCAAAAAGTCCCCAGTTAACTGCTGAGGAGATGATTCCATTAAGGCCTTCAGCTACTATCAAAAATAAATAAGGAGATAGCGGATCCCCTTGTCTAAGGCCTTTATTAATTTTTACTTGTTTGGTATTGCTGCAATTGATCAAAACAGATACCTCTACTGTTCTCAAGCACTCATCTATCCATCTTCTCCACTTCGATTTAAAACCCATTCTTGACATTATGTATTGCAAAAACTCCCAACACACATGGTCATATGCTTTTTCGAAGTCTACTTTAAATGCAAAACTAGCTTTCTTCTTTCTCTTTACTTCATCAATTATTTCGTTGGCAATAACAATGCTGTCCGCCATTTGTCTTCCTCCAACAAACGCCATTTGGCTTTCTCCAATTATTTTGTCCACCACTGCACAGAGTCTATTAGCAAGGAGCTTTGCTATCACCTTGTACATCACCCCGATCAAGGATATGGGACGGAATTCCTCTATTTTTTGGGGATTTATCACTTTGGGGATCAACACGATGAATGAACTGTTTATCCCTCTGACCAGTTTACCATGCTTATAAAAATCTTCCACATAGCCCATCATATCATCCTTGATTTCCTCCCACATTTCTCTTATGAACCTAAAATTAAAACCATCAAGTCCTGGTGCTTTGGAGCAGTCGCAACTCCATACCGCTTGCTTTATCTCCTCTTCACTGAACGGAGCTAGCAATAGTGAATTCTCATCCTCAGAGAACATTTTAAATGCAATCCCATCAAGGTGAGGGCGTTGCCATCTGTCTTCTGAGAATACCTTCTCGAAATAATTGGCCACCTCTTCCTTGATCTAATTAACCTGATCCGAGACTTTGTTTCCCACCTGAATACTAACTATCTCATTCCTTCTCCTTCTTCCCTTAACGTACCTATGAAAAAATTTGGTGTTCGCATCTCCATCTTTCATCCATGACTTTCTAGCTTTTTGACGCCACATGCTCTCCTTCATCTTCTAGCATCTCCACAATTGTAAAAAGCTATTCTTTCTCAGATCCACTTCCTCGGCCGATAACGCGGATGTTTCTGCTTTCAAGTCCATAGTCGCAATAGACTCCTTGCATTTTTGAATGTTGGAGTCCACCTCAGGCAAAATGCTCCTACTCCAGACCTTCAGAACATTCTTTGTTTCCTTTAGTTTTTCTTTTAGACAGTATTCGTGCCATCCTGTGATCTCTGTTGACCTCCATGTTCTTCTCACTAACTCCTTGAACTCTGGAATATCAATCCACATATCAAAAAATTGAAAAGGTTTTGGGGCCCCAATCGATTATTTGATTTTTTTAGTAAAATTGGACTGTGGTCCGCTATTGTTCGCTTCAATCCCCATTGTTTGACATCCCCCCAATTGATACACCATTGTTCGGAAAGCAGGAACCTGTCCAACCTACTCATAACTGTTCCATTTGGCTGATACCAAGTGAATTTACGTC